ACGATGTTTCTCTTTTGAACAGACATGTATGTTCTCCATTTTACTTGACTACCATTGTATTGTCTTCCTCTAATATTCTTTGGAGCTCTCATTCTATGCCAAAATCTTGACTTACTCCTTGTCGTATCATAGTAGCATTAAAGTGAACTGGCAATTAATTCAGATGTTTTGAACACCATTCATTGGAAACACTTTGAAAGGTAATTTTTCCAACGGAAACACCTTGAAAGGTAATTTTTATTTAGTTATTTTTGGAGTGCCTTTACTATATAATCACATTTTCTACACATCTTTCAAGATTATAACTATAATTCATTGATAAAAGGTTAAGTACATGATTTTATGAAGACATAATGTATGGCTTCCAAATCATAGTCATGATTGTGTATTTTGGCTTCCTGGGTCATGGTATTGAAGTAATGTCAAATACTTTTGTCATGTTTCTGAGAGCTCCAATACTGGGCTGGAGGACGGGGGCCTCCTCATTTTCTTCCCGTACATAATGGCCTGCACACATTAGTGAGCTTATTGAATGAACCTGGGATTGGTATGTGGAAGAGGCTGAGCTTTGACCCTGGTGGGGGAACGCTTAATAATAGATAGATACTTTAAATAACATTGTGTAAAGTTCATTTATGTGACAACACCAAATCTTTCCAAAGAAATCTCCACAAATAAACATTTGCGCTTATTTGTGTGCTTGACCTAATTCTTTATTTTATTAAATTCTTGTCAGCTATTCTGAAAGAAATTTCACAGGTCAGAAATATGAGTTAGTTACCGAGTATAAAATGTACCTGCCCCTGGTGGCTCACATCTCTCAAATAGTGGCAATAAATACCTCGACATAGTATGAGTGGTCATATAGTTCAGTAGGCAATTTCATACTTTAAATTTTCAAATTGTGCCTTACTAGTAAAAGTAGTTTTGAATTCAGCACTAGATTTCATCTAAGAAGGTAGATGTGGATAGAGAGCATCTTTGTTATTTTAGCATTCTAATGTTTGTTTGCAATGTGAGCTATGGCAAAAGTAGAAGGGGAGAAGGTTAGAGGTGTACCAAAAGTTTCTATTGTAATACAGTAGTATTGCCACTAAATTATATCTTTTCTGTTAATTGTTATACTTTCACTGTTTTCATTCAGCACTGTGTTAGTCTGGGTAAACTAGGGAAACAAATCTACAGAAATTCATATATGTGTAAGAGAGAGTTTT